CTCCGCGCGCGCACCGCGCCCCGAGTCTCCCGGCCCGCGGCCCCACCTCCTGCACGGCCGGCGGGGAGGAGCGCAGAGCGTGCGCGCTCGGGCTGCAAAGTTTCAGCTCCCGTCCTCAGCACCCGAATAAAAGAGGGGGCGGGGCCGAGGGCCCGGGAGCAGCTCGGGGGCGGCGCAACGGCCGGCTCGGGTTACTTTCCCTCTTAGAGCCCCGCTGGCTCACTCCGGGATCGCCCCGGCCCGACTTTCCTTTTCAGGGGGCGGGCTGTGTGCGGCCGGGAGAGCCGGTTGGCTCGTGGGAGGCCCGGGTCCTCTTGGGAGCAGAACAGTCTGTCTCGGAGTGAGCGGCTACAAACACGCGCACACCAGAACCTCAAGTAGGGGCTGCACGTCCTGTTCACCTTAAATGCATTGTATCTCAGTACTGCTGTGCAGTTCGCCATCCTCATTTGAAGCTTCTTTAAGTGGTACGGTTTCATTTATGAAAGGGTGACAGTGTAACACTTTCTCTGGTAACGCTGGTGCAATATTTCAACTTCGAAAATTACTCCTAACCGATCGGCAGCTCTTTGCGTTATAGTTTCCCATATTCTAATGCTCATATTTGCAAAGTGAGTTAACGCTCACTTGGATCATTTATTAACCCCGAGGGGGAAATTGTTAGCGAGAAACAAAAAGAAAAAGGGAAAAAAGGCGTGCACAGCTTAAGTGACTGACAAAGACAGGACAGGGGACTCCATCTGGAACTGTAATTAACCCTGGACTGGGGAAAATCCTAAATTCGAAAGCCCAGCTCTCCTTCAAGACCCCGCTGCTCTGCCTCCCACAGATGCGCGGAGATTCCTTTGGCTCTTAGTGATTCTTTCAATTACGGTGATTAACTACATTTGGGCTACTGTTAACCCTTGGAGGGCAGAACCTGCTTGGGTTACAGCCTTCTCTCCCCTCCCTCTCATACCGACTAGCCCAGCATCTGGCACCAGGGTGAGAGTGCTGTTTATTCACTAAGTATCCGCGAACGCCTCCCCTGTGCCAGGCACTGCATTCATTCAATATTTGTTGAATTAGGATGGTAGACTGGTTAGCACATGTGGGAAAGATGGCTAGCACCTAAGCATCTGTTGTAGAGTGTAATTAGTGAGGTAATCAACCAGAGGAAACATATTAAAGAAAGAAAAACAATGTCAGACCTCATCCCGTGCAATGTATCTATAAGACTAAAGAAACACATCAGCGCAGAGATATGCAACTTTCAAGTGCAGTGGATTTTGTTTTGTTTTGGTTTTAGCAAATGTGATTGTCAGACCCAGAAATTTGGCAAAGGCCATGATAAATTCCTGGCAGAATAGTTATCCTACCAAAAAAAAAAAAAAAAAAAAAACTTTTGAAACCATCCATTGTTAACCATTTCTATGGCAGTAAAGGGGAGAGAGATCTTTGTTCACTGGCAAACATAACCAATCTTATCCACACCTTTAATCACAGCAGTCACTATATGCTGAGTCATCTGTGATTTGATTTGATCACAATAATTTATCTCCAAATCAAAACACTCTTGAGTATGAAAAGAGACACTATCGATAATTATGTTGGAATAAAATACCAGGTAATGTGGTCCCTGTAACTGTAAAGAAAACTCAAGTCTTAATGATTTTGTCAAAGAAATTTACTTGATGTTTTCACAATGTTTTCAAATTCATTTGCATTAGTTTTTAATAGCCAGTTAAGAGCTAAAATTCCAGCGTCAAGAAAAAGTTTACAAAATTTCATCCCATTCAGTCCACACACTACTGTACCTGTAGCTCAGTACATAATAGAGCATAGCTAAAGAGGAAGGCCATGTAAAAATTTCTAACCGGAAGACCAATTAACTATCTAAATGAATTAGAGTTCTGTTTACCTTTCAAGTCCTGAAGGCTAATTATTATTTAAATAAGACCTTTTACCTTAATTACAGCTCTTAGCATGTGAAAGTTTTAGGGAGGCCTGACTTCCTATCTGAAATGCACACTTGAAGACATAGAAAGACACTACTGGCAGATGATAAAGGTAGAGTTTTAGGTAAAAAGCTTTGGAAAGTAGAGTGTATACAAAACGATCCTTTATAAATTTGCCAGCTTTTCTTCTGGGCTAGGGCCACTCTGTAGTTTCAGCGTCACATTCTGTATGCACACAGATTAGCAAACTTCCGCAGCAAAACTTCCGCTCTTGCACATTGATAATTCCTCACACATAAGAAGGAACTGAATAAATATTTAATTGGTGAGTGCATAAAAGAACTGACACTAGAACCCAGGTCTCCTAAATTCTCTTTCCTGCTTTTTTTTTTTTAACTAATTTTGGGCCTCCTGTACAACTAGATCAATTATTCAGTCAATGAAAAATGTAGGAAGTACTTGTAAGGCACTAAAGTAGGCAAGAGGAAGATTCAGAAATGAATGCCTCGTGATTTTTATAGATCAAAGGCATAATGTGACTTTCTGAGGAGTGGTTTTCCTCTGTAATCTTTAATCAGAGAAAGGTGCCCTAGGAAACCCAGGAAGGGGTTTTCAGCATCACTATGATATTAACCATTTGAGCCAGTCTAAAATTTATTATTTTTTATTTGACATCTAGGGATGGAGCATTTGGATTAATGGCTATTACTATCATTGTTAATAACAGGAAGACCAAAACACTCAGGCCCCTTCCCTGGTTCAATTTATATTTTCCAGACGTAAAGGGGAAAAAAATAAACTATTCCAAACATTCAACTTCTCACAATTTAGGATAATTTTCTTGATAATTCTCTTCCTATCATTTTGGTTTTTACTATTTTTAGAACATTTAAAATTATTTTGTGTTTTTTCACATAAATTGTCTCGTGCATGTCTCATGTTATCTTTGAACTTGAGAGACACCAAGCAATTCTGCAAATTGCTGCCTGGGAAATATCCTACAGTTGAAGCTAAGCATTCTTATCTATTACATTACCTCACTACAAAGTCATCAGTTAACTAAATTATGCAGGCTACTAATGATCTTGTCTTCCGCTCAATTCCCTTTGGTTTGAATTCCTCACACCATAGTAATGTGGTTATCTCCCTAAATATACCAGGTTCCCACCAGATAATTCAGGTAGTGAAGTTCTCAAATATATTGAGTAAGTGCTACCTTATTTATTTGAATCCTTTTGATCATCCAGGCAGCTTCATTAAGTCATTCTGCATAGGAAAGTTGATATTTGACTTCTTTTTGCAGTGAATGGAAGAGTTATAAGGTTGAACCAACTTTTTTGCTTTCTGCTTCTTTCTTTTTTTTTTTTTTTTTTTTTTTTTTGTACCTTGAATCGAACTCAGGACCTTGTGCTTGCCAGAAGGTACTTATGCCACTGAGCTATATCCCGGATATTTGACTTTCTTTTACTGAGTCCTATCTATAACTCAGAGATCAATGTCAATTGAATAGATTGAGAAACCTCACATAGTTGAGATCAAACTTGGATAAGTTCATTAAACTTTTCTAATAAAAAGAGAAACATTGATGCCGTTAAATCCTATTTCCAAGAGTCTATGGCTGTATTTTCAGAGTTTTTTTTAGGAAGGAGAAACCACAAAAAGAGTTGAGCTCTCCTACTCTCAAGTGCTGAAGCAGCTAACAGGGAACAAGCTGCACTGACAAAGAACAATCGATCCTACATTTCTCCCCCATGGATTATGCTACTTTTTGTTCCAGCTATCAAGTTGCACAGTGTCCCAGAAAAAAAAAAAAAAAATGCCATGCCCTGCAGTTGTTCTTGTAGTTTCAATTTAACTTTATGGGGCTCCTAATCTCTGGACTAATAATACCGACTTTCAGACTCAGTAATTTTTGTTTCAAACCTAAGATCTATGTTGACAATGACAGAAGCTTAAAAGTGAAAACTGGTTCATAGAAGTCATTCTAAACCCAGAAATAAAACAATAATTAAATTATGCCAAGTAAACTCTGAGCCTTAGAAATAAAACATAGATTTGAACATCATAACCACACTAAACTAATTTTTTAAAATTCTTATTAACAAGAAAGACTTAAAAGTAATTGCTTTATACTGCTTTATACTTTTTCAGACTTGAGTTTGGCATGACAAATATTTTCTTATACCATTTCAGATCAAATAGAAATATATATTCAAATACTACAAGCTATAATTAAACAGCTTTCATGAACTCTTACTTAGTTTAATAGTTGTTTATTCTTCCATTCCTTATCTAAAATTGCATACAGGAAAAATTTTTCTTCTAGTTTCAGCCTACCAAGGGTCTTTAAATTCTGTACCCACTACTGACCAACACACAGATTTTCACTAAAAGCACATATGTGGTTCCCATTTGAGATCTTTGGATAGATGAGCCTGTAACAGGCCTCTATTGCTTCATTTTCTAAATTAGCCACTTGTATTTGGAAATACAGTCATGTCTTGCTACTAGACTGCTTTGAAGCTTATTAAATTTTGTACTCAAGACATTTTGACACAAACAGTTGGGCTCAATACACTTTTATTTGTTACTTGACACACAAGCTAGAACTTGATGTGGACTGCCTTGTGACTCGCTACCCTTTCCAGCCAAAACAGTTTGTTTGGTAATTACTGTTACGGAGGTATTGAGGAGTACCAAGGTACCACTGTAGCAGGATCATTTAGGGTGGTGGAGAGGTGGAAAGAAAAAGAACAGATTAGAAGAGCAGGAAGTGTTTCAGTCTACTTCAGCGTCAAAACGGAAAGGCTGAAATTCAACACCAATCAGTGTTTTCCTGCAAAGAGTCAGAGGATTCCATAGGGTTTTCAGAGTATTCCCAAGGGTCTAGTTGAACAGGAAAACTTACATTTGTTGCCAAAAGGCCAGCAAAATGGTGGTTGAGACCCACCGCCAGTTCACAAAAATGACAGCAACAGAAATTGTTTACAGTACATGTTGTAATATGTATGCATCCCATTCTGGAAAAGCTCTCAAAGCAAAACTTTCTTCCATTTGAGTTCCATACAAGTTTTACCTTTAATGACAGAGGAACAGAGTTATATTCATTACTTTTCTACTTTCTTCTCCTTTTCCTGGACTTAGTACCCAAAAAGCAGCTGGGGCAGCGTAGAGCAGGGGAGGTTCTGGAGATGCCTCAGTTTAGGGGGCAGCAGATTAAACCCATGGGCCCCAAGTTCCAGGAAAT